AACCCCCAAGAGACCTTTTCTGTTCAGCTGCTCCCCTAGCAGCCAGTCCTGTCCCATCCTGTATTTGTTCAGCTGATTGTTGCTTCTGGTGAAGTGCACAGATCCACATTTGTCAAATCCATGGCTGGATGGACTGAATCACATTCTAACTCTTTTGAATTTATCAGGTTAGTTTTAAATTGTAATTGTCTTCTACTTGGGCAGTAGTTAGCTCACATCTGAAGCCCCTTACAATTTAACCAGCATTTGCCATCCAAATTGTTAATGAAAATACCAATAAACATCAAATCAGAGGAGAACTGTGGAGAACCCCACTCAATACATCCTTGCAGTCTGACTGTGAATGATTCACAATTACAGGGTTTCATAACCTCACTTTTAAATTGGTGTCAGACCACATTCCCCTACTTGCTTAGGGAAAGTCATTGGTCACTTTAAAGCTATGCCCACTGCTTCTCCTTTGTTGAAGGAGCAACATTAGTTTGACACAATTTGATCTTCCTTTCAGAAGCTCACAGATAGTTGCCCTGTTCCATTAATTTTCTCATTTAAACTATTGACCCAGACTTCTGAACAGATGGGTGGAAGCAGAGAGACAGACTGAGCCTTCAGAGTTTACAGCATCCCCCTTTGTCTCTAATGCTTGGAAGTAATTTACCATATGGGGTATCTGATCGAGGCATGAGGATAACTACTGTTGCGCTTGTGCTGCAGTCTCTTACATATGGCAGAATAAGCAGAGCTTGTCTAAGTGAGGACATGAGAGCCCTTGAAGTATTCACTACTCTGCCCTAACGTCACACTATAAAAGGACAACGAAAGACTTCTGCTCCTGTGTCTATCGGTCCCTCCTCCATTGTTCCAAGATTTCAGTGACCAGCTATTCCAGTGAGAAGTCACATCCACGAAACAGAGAAGCCTCCTCAACAGTATCCTGCACTTCCTTCAAAGATCCCAGCTGACTGACACAAAAAACATACAGCAAATAAAGTAAACATGCATCCAGTAATTATTTCCATGGCATCAAAAGCCATGTGATGAAACTACTCCTAACGCCAACTTTGATAATAAAAGTCTTAAATTAACCTCTTCAGGAAACCTTTGCAACGATGCAAGTGGAATCACGCTATCAATAATTACACACTTTGTCAATAAGACCTGATCATTTGGCGACTCCTATTTGAAGATGATGCATGGCAATTTCTTCCTGACACATAAGTCTGTGCTGACTGGGGATATGCTTTTTCTCAAGTCACAGTAAATACTGAGTACATTCATTAAATTGATTCGTTGTTTGAGGTGATGACATAAGAGCATGTAGTCGTTTTTAGAAAATAAAATCTTCATCAATAGGCCAATAGTACCTTTCCTCCTATGGAGTTTTCCCACATCACATTTCTTGGTATTTTAAAAACACTGAAAGGTATTGATGTCTCACTCCAGGCACTTATATATTTGGATGAATCCAGCATTTTCCAAGTGATCTTTTGTTAATCACTTACACTACATTTATATGGTTCTAAAGTGCATTCTGGATATAGCTGCTCTTCTGCAGTGTAACTATCACACTCTTCATTCCCTCGGTATCTTAATCTAAATTAATGTGCTCTTGAAAAAGAAAAAATTCTTGAAAGGTGAGAATGGGAACCTTCAGAGAGTCACTTCACATTATTAACTAGTGGTAAATGCAAAGTAGCTTACCCATTGCACAAAGTTAAGAAGAATACACAAATACGCAGAGTTACCACTGAATAAGTGGCATTCTGTAAGCCATTCTCACTTCTCTCCTGGTAAAATGTTCACAGGCCTGTAACCTTAATAGGAAATACTGCATTTGTGCATTAAAACAACAGTTTTAAAGTTATACTTTCAGAAAAAGGACAGATATGCAAATATGAAATTCATAACTCATTTATTGAATATATATATGCAAGGATACCAATAAAAAGAAACTAATACTGCAAACTACAACTTTGGAAGTAAAGCCAATATAACAGGAACAAAATATACATAACATTGTCGATAGGAATGCATTTACCCTCTTTCATACATTCCTTGTCTTTACACCTAATGTAAATGTATGCTAGAGCAAAAGCTGCAAATGTTAGCCTAACCTGAGTGCTTTTTGACAAGCAACAGTTCTCCAGGATCCTTTAAGGGTTGAGATGTCACTGCTGACTAATGAATGTGCATACATATGCATATATAGAAACTGCTTCAACAAGTACATAAATCAAGAGCTGTGTTCTGTTTTTTAACCTTCATCACTAATACAGTGGAATCTGTTTCTGGTGACATGGAAGAAGAGTTACTATTTGCTATAATGTACTTCAGTTCTCATAAGATTAATTTAATCTAATGAGGATTAATTTTCTTGTCAATCTGATTCAGCATATTAATATTTTTGGAATGCACTGATTATCACCTAAGTCTGATATTTCAAATAGATTATCATCTCTTCACTTTTCACTCTAGTTTAGCATGAAGTTGTTTTTCATATAGGCAGCAGTTCCTTTCTATAACATTTTAGGGCCAGATTCGGTATAATCATACCATTCTAGATCAGCACAGCTCTGTGTACCTAAAGATCAGACTTTGTGGGGTGTAGGTAATGACTTATTGCTGCCCTCCAGGAGTTAAGCTGGTGTAACTCCTACTAGAGCCTTATCACAGAACCTCCTGTGGATCAACACCTGCTGAATGAGTAGATCTTTTGATCACCTAATCTATTTGATCCTAGCTAGCTGCACTGATGCTGGTATTGAGCTGGCCTTTCACCCTTCCTTGAAATGGAGCGATAGCACAACTTACTGCCATAGCATTTGATCACGCCTAAAGACTGACATCACACCAGCTGTGTCCTCAAGTTATTTGAACAATATCCTTCTGATGCCTGTCCTTCCTTGGTACAGTCCTTTCTCAGTATAACACAATCGCAGATCTGTTAATATAGAGATACGGTGAATTGGGGAGATCTGTTAATACAAAGATCCAATGTGTTGGGGAGAAACCTCCCTTCTCAGAGGGTTCCAGGCATCTTAAACAGCACACACTACTCTTGTGAGCAAAAGAAATGCCTAATGGCAAAAAAAAAAAAAAAAAATTAAATAAAGTGAAACCAGTTTCTTAAGACAAGTTTTGTTAAATTAATGAGTTCTCTGGTTGTGAGATGAAAGCAGAAGGTGCCTATAAAAAAAAAATCTCAGTAACAAATGGACTGCATTAATTTAACTAGCTAATTTAAACATACCTATTTCACCTATAGAGCACTTTCATTACTTCTAACATTTCTGGAAAGGCAGTAGATGCTCCAGAATAATCTTCAATATATGCTTGCAAAGATTACATTGCTTTACCAAAAAAAAAAATTCAGACAGACTGTCTGAAATTCCAAGCTAAAATACACATAAAAAGACAGTAATGGCAGTATTTTGTCTTTAAAAAATGATGTAAATGTTGTATACTATCATACATTGTCATGCTTTTTAAAACTACAATTAAGGATGTAAGAGATGTACAGTAAATACACTGCTGAGGTACATTTCTTCTAAATATTAACACCACGACAGAATTACTCCCCAGCAGGTGATGCTACTTGGGAACATATAAATACAATTTTTACATTGTAAGGCACTTTTACCCAGCATACATGAGTTGAAGTCAGTTATGACAAATTTGAGGCTTGTAAGAAAACAGGTTTCTTTCTTTTGACTTTGTTTCCAAGAATTCTGAATTAATGACAGTTTAGTCAGGCCATCTCAGCACAAAGAGGTAACAGGTAAACCAGCCACTTTTCTGCTACCCGAAGGTAAAGTGCTGTTCTGGTTCTTCAAGGCATGGAATGGGGTCATTGATTTCACAACAAATGAGTTATTAGACTGAATATTATAGTAAGCAACTGACACAATGTGAATTAGAGCTCAGTCTCAAATACAATCAGTATGCTGGCAGATCAACCCCATGCAACCTTAGTTAAAAATACAGTAGCTGCAAACAAAGTGCCTTTTTTCCATGGGAGAGCCATGTCTGAGGCACAAATCTAGAAGTAATTTAAACATTGAAGGATTTTGCATTCTAACTGTTCTGAGTGGCTGAAAAATGTTCATATTCTAAGAGAAACAAAACACCTTGATAGACAATTTCAATAACCAATCTGTCATTGCAATTCAAGTCACGCTTTTAATTTTGAAAGTTACAAATACAAAATAAAAATGATCAATGGCATCATATTTAGAGCAGTAACTGAATATTTTCTGTACACAGCAATATTTCTTTCCAAAATGGCATTATTCTCCAAGAAAGCAAACAGAATTGATTGAATTCTAACAGGTAAAATGTTAGAAACTCCAATATACAGTATTGAGTCCCTCAAGACATTAAGGGAATGCATAAGAAGACAAATGACACACGTTAAATCTTTTAAAAATACAAGTAAAAAATGCTACAGAAACTCATGTTACAAATGAACTGTTTTTGCAATACCAATCACAGAAGAACTGTAGCAGTTTATAGTCAAATCTGTATTTTGCTTGTTTCCTTCCTTCAAATCCAGAAGTTTTGTTGGGAGTTCAGAGTGAAACAAGTCAAAACCCTAAACAAACAATAAGATGATGCGATAGCAACAGACAAATATGTGGACTAGATTCAGCTTTTTGGTTTTATTTAAGTCTGAGAATGTGCTTTAACAGACCAATTGAAGAAGCTAGTAGCCACTAGAAATGACAAGGTGTTTTGAAAGCAGTCAGAGGACTGATCTGTTAGGTTTGGTATAGCCTAGATCTGATTATTCCCTAAAGGAACATCAAACTCTTGCAAGTAGAATTCCATGACGTGATTGTTGACTTGACAGAAAGAGAAAAAATAATCACTAAAACAATAAGGATGATAAGCAAAGTTTCTCATACAGTGGTCATAAGATTAAAAAATAAATACCAAACTAGCAAAAAAAGGTTGTTTCCTCATTCTTCTTACAGAATATGGGACCTTTATGCATATTCCGGACAAAATATGAAGTGTTCCACACAACACAGAACATTTGAGGTATGGATGTCAGATATGGTGGCTAAATTCCATGGTGAGTTAAGAGTTGTAACTCTCTGAAGTAAAAGAGATTGGGCTGCAGAGTCCAAACATTTGTATAGTAAGGTTTTAATCACACTTAGTGAAGTGTTCTTTGCAAATCAGGGACACAGAAAGAGGTGGGTCGTTGGGGGAAGAATGAACTACAGCCCTTTGGCATGAGTTCTAAAGCTCACAGCTCAGAACCAACAGCTGCTCAAGTAAATCTCCCGCAAACAATGCTGGGCGGAATGAGCAATTACAACAGGAACAACCTGAAATGTTCAAGCGTGCTTCGGTGTACACTGAGTCCTTTTCTACTGTGTGCTTTGCAAGCAAAAACAGAGCGCGGCTTTCCCATGTATAGCCTCCGTAACTTGTGTATGAAGAAAATGCAAAATTCACAAAGTACCAGCTTGTTGCCACCACAAACTTGTCCATGTTGTTAATAACTAGCTAAGACCTTCCCTCATTGCATGAATCCACTAAACAACTTACACATTCCAAATCTTAAGGTTTTTATTCAGTCCAGAAATATAGATCTTACTTCATTTCAATGTCTGCCTTAACTTTTGACACTGTACATATTACATATCATTTATATAGTGTTTCATTTTTTTCCAGACACTGCAGACTACAAACTACATAATATTGACATGTAAAACTCTGCCACTTACTGAAGGCTCACACACATGAACGTTTCAGGCAGTTCAATGAAATTTCTAACAGAGTTGGGTAGTAAAAAGTTACTAACCCTTTTCTGATTTTAGAAAACAATTTAAAAGAATTAGTAGTTATGATGTCTTAGCCATTCCCAGTTCTATAACTCTGTCCCTTGAACCTGTTTAAAAAATGATGAAAACAGCAGTAAATTTAAAATCATACAGAAAAGCATTTAGCAGCTCTGATATTACATCTATATTTAGCAATAGAAATGAGGGCCTCCCTTCTTATACTGTTACAAAGTTAGCTGGATTTAAAAAACCACAAACCCTCCCCATTTTTCTACAGTATGGCAATAAAAAGTACTTATCTGCATACACTAGATTTAAATACTTCACTGCAATAAACGACATTAAATGTATATTGCGTTTCAGTCTTGGTAACAGATCTGTCAGGAGTAACTTCCATACCTAGTTTCCATTGAGCTGCTGCTGAGGAATGTCATTATGGTCAGCGCCTGATTTGCCACGGCTTTTGCTTTCTCTTTCTTCGTCCTCTTCATCTCTTTCATCATTCCCACTATGGTTTTTACAATAGAGTCTAGCACAATAAAAGAAACAGCGAGGACTTTTACTTTTCATATCTATCAAAACCAGACTTTGCTCTCAATTAGTTTTGAGATGTACTACAGGTCAATTGCTAACTCTTAACTCATTCATCATTCAGTCAGGCATCAGTTAAACTGGGAAAGAAAACAAGGTTGAAGACTAGCCAAGAAAACTTTGAACAATTTAGTTTTCAAGAACTGCTGCTACACTGCTCAGAGAATGCCCTCTCGTGGGCACAGCCACACTAGCAACTCAGCTGCAGCCAACTCACCAACACCCACATTTCAGCAAGCAAGTATGGAAAGTTACTGGTCCAAAAAACCGAAAATAAGCTACAAAACATATCAATATGGAGCAATCACGACATAAATTATACAGTTTCCTCAATACAAATTACAGATTAATCGAGGAAGAAAATGTAAGTCAATTGCTTTTCTCACTTCTCATATTACAATAGTACTACAGAAATTTTAAGCTACAGTAAATGAAATATTTTGCAAAGTCAACTATTACTTAAATATACCACTTCACATGAAAACTGAAATTTGAAATAATATTCTTTTGTTATTTGAAATAATATTCTTTTTAAAAATAATATACTTGACTCGTCAAATTAGGCAGAAAAAGCATCACGACATATCTTCACTTTCATTGTGGATTCAAGAATTACATAGGTCCTTACTTATAAATTCCTCGTGACATATTCTCAATGTATTTAGCTTTGTCTTCTACTCCACAGTGGTAATGGTAAGTTTTTATGCAGGCTTTAATTTCACACCCAATAGTAGCACCAGGCTGGCTGCAAAGCGTGCATTTCTGTACAGGGGAAAGAAGAGAATGGCACTCACTGTTCAGCCCTTCAGTCTCCTGCCTCTTAGTATTAAGTTTACTGTTCCTCATATTTATGGCTACCATATTGGAACAATAATTTATCTGGCAGATCATTCTTACAATGAAAAGTTAATCAAAGATATTGTAAAACAGAAGCTATATAATATTAGACTATTAAAATATGAACACTAGGATTTGCCTGTCCATTGCACTGAAAATTGCTACATGATTGGGTGTATTATTGTATTTCCAAGATAATTTTATTGCCACTGAAGTAAGTATGTTAATATATGAAGAATTTTAAGTGATTTTTTTTTTTTTCAATGAACAATATGGTTAGGAGTCCTCCCCATAAATTTCTTACCACTTTAAAAACAGCCTGAATTTTAGTAAAATACAGCGTGACATGTTACCAACATCCCCATCTCTGAGGCCTTAGTATGTTTTCGTATTAAAACATCCAAACAGTTGGAAACAAGTCGCTGTAAGAACATATTCTCTTAAGTTTATTTGTACTTTTACACAGTTTTTTTTTTAGCAACACAGGATCCAAAGCTGTTACTCTCTTAGAGTTACAAGATGGCTAATAATTTACAATGTACATTGTGATAAAGAATTCCATATACCACATGCCCAAACACCACTAATTTTTAAAATTATTCCTATCTGGCTGTCTGTCCCGAAAGTAATGATCCATTTAAATTTTGTGTTTAGAAATAGATGGAAAAGATTGTTTCACAAAAGGAAGAAGGCAGAGCTATATACACCTTAGTAGAATCAGTAACACATTCATCACATACTGCAGTTACATACCATTCTTTTTCCTCTCTTGATTTCTTGAAGTACAGTTTTGATATCAAAATCACCAAACTCTGCCCTGGAAGTTGTTGTTAGCTGGACAGTGCCAGAAGAGAACAACTGTAAAACAAGCAAGTCCAAAATAATTTCAGGTCACCAACATGATTAGAATTTTTTTTCTCTGCAGGAATAACTGAGTATTGAACATCCCCTTCTGTGATCTCAAACAGCATGGGCTTTCGCAAGAAACTAGGAAAAAAGCCATGCTGAGTAATTAGTATGATAAGTATTCCTTCTGATACCCACCTGACTGCTTTAATTACATTTGTTGCCTTGGAGAAATGTATTTTAAAAGACAAAGGAGTAGATAAATAGCGACATGATGACAACACAAAGTAATAAATGGACAATATTATCAATTACACCACAGAATTTTTTAGGAAGAGTCCATTTCCTTCCCTGTGACGTACAATTCAGCTTCACGACACGGCTGATGTCAACATACCTGAAAAGCCCCAAGGGATGGCAATGGAGCATATAAGCACCATCCCTACTACCATCATCCTGGCATATTCAGTTCAAACTGTCTTAAAACTGAAGCCCAGATACACAACGTAGCGAAGGATACTCTAAGACTCAAGGCTGCTGGCACACACCAGCTCTGCTCAGTGAGGCTAGGTATAGGAAGACAATTAATACTCCACAGATTGTCTGGACTATTTATTCATTTTGAGGTACAACAGGAACCACTGAGGTCTGTTACTCAAAGCCCTACCTCATTCATAGAACAAGTTATATAAAAGATAGCACTATCTGCTCATGTTCATTGAAATTAGCAGATTCTTTTCAGGCTGACAGTTCTATAAATGTGATCATCTAAAGGCAAGGGTCTTCTAGAACTTCCACATCCCACACTACTTGAGTCACACAGCCTGAATCCACTGGTCAGAAAAATAATAAATTTCATGGATTCTTCCTGGATTTTGTCTGAATGCCTCTGGAGTAAAGGTATTTTATTTTTGGAGTGGATTCTTTCAGTTAAAACTTTTATGTTTTCCCTTTAAAATATTGTGTATGCTTTTAGATGCTAAGGGAGCATTTCTGACAAGCTAAAGAGTCTCCCTGAGCTAATTCTATCTCTTAGCATGTAGCCAACTTTCATCCATGTTGCCCGCAGTGAAAATAAATGAATTGCTCACTTTGCAACACTTCAGCGTTTAAAGATATCATCAGCACACAGACAATACTCATGCATAATTACATTTGAGGGTACTGTATTAAAATCTAAAATAGCAATTCAGACAAAATTCACATAATAGACTGGTTAACAACAATACTTTTACTCACCATGCACTTATAGTGTGCTGCAGCCTTTTTGGCATTAAATATATGAAGCTTTCCTCTAGCTTCATTTTCTTCTTCACCTGCATGACAGAATCCACATTTAGGTTTTGTATCACTGGGGCTGCTTCTGTGGGGAGACCTGTCTCTCTGAAAGAAAAACATTTTACTAAAACATACTGCTGGGTTACAAATAAGGTTGCAATTTTAAAAGCCTGTGGCCACCAGCTGGAGGCTCAGACAAACGCAAATTTTAATAAAAATTAGATTTGCAGAGAAGAAATATGCAATTCTCTCTTCTAAGAAGTTTAGCATATTTACTGCTTACATAGGAACTGCTTTCTATTTCATCTGTGCCATGTGAAGACGTAGATCTAGTGTCTTCTGATTGCCCTTTTAAATTTGTTTTTCTTGGCTTTCCCTTACGACCCCTCCTTTTTCCTTTGGGAGGTGAAGGCTCCAACTCGTGTTCATTGATACTTTCTTCTAAATCTGCTTTAGAAGTTAAAAAACATCATCAAATAACATTCTCAAAAATTTTACACAAAACAAATCAATCAAACAAAAAACCAGACAAGAAAAAACATAACCTGTATTTTCTGCATTTCAGTCAGAAATAAAAGTACCAAGTTTTTCCCATTTATTACAAACATGCAACTTCAGATCCTGAAAACATTATTTACTTCTTTATACATATCACACAGCTTTGCATCTTTATAACATAATATATGAAAGTTTAGCATTTCTTAGAACTTCTACTTTCAGACACAAAAAATGTCCTCAGATACATTTATTCACCTCCACTGAAAATAAAACTCATTTAAACTACACTGAAACCAACAAATGTTTTCACCAATGAAATAAGCTTTTAAATATATTATTTTTAGGACACATAACTCCAATGTAAATTACACTCGATATTATGACAGTGTTTCTAACACCTCTATCCTTGCTTTATTAATTGATGCCTTTTGACTTAAGAAAAAAATTCACCCATTTTGGCTAGAGCATTAACATAAAGTTTTAAAACTGAAATGCATTTTGCCTCCATGAAAAAAATCTAAAATTTAATTTCAGTTACAGTATATTTTTACATCTACAGCTAAAAGCAGCCACCAGTTTACAGAAAATAATCCGCACTTACAATATCCCAGATAAAATATTTATAGAACATTAAGAATATAAGAACATACATTTTTAATACAGACATACCAAAGAGGTCTGGCAAGTTCCTTTGAAAATGTCAGCTCAACTGCTGAATGCTACAAAGAACTGTAGTCCAGTATTCTAGCAGACTGTCCTTTTGATTATTCAGAGCTCTACAGTTAATACAGATCAATGCTGCAAATTTCTTAAGATTGTTTCCAGTATGATCTAGTTAAATTATAGCTGATATTGAATAACCAGCTCTAGTCAGTCCCTAACAACCTTCCTGATCATCAGCTGCTCACAGGAGCATCTTTTTTTGCTTTTAATATGTAACACCCACCCCTGCTCAAACTGCAAAGATATTTCAGCAGACTGCTAAAACATGCACACACACTGCTAAAGAACTTGCTTCTCAAAATCCAAACCACAAACATCAGTATGAGCCCCCAAACAGAAGGAAATCCTAATCAGAAGGTTTGGAACATCTACTTTACACATTAATGGGCCACTTCACTGTTGTGGTATTATTATTGTTATTTAAGCATTGCTAGGGCACTTATCGCCATTATATCTTGGTCTCAGTATCCAGACAGGACATCTTATTTTAAGACTAAATGCTGCTTTGCCAGAACTCGTCTTTCTTATCTACTATCACATAAAAATCAAATCACATTTCTATCTCGTGATTAACAGTGACTCAACTGTACAAAATTTTGAAGTCAAAGACGAACATATATCACAGCCATCACCTTGGAGTATAAGATAACTGAACTACTGGCCCGAGGCCTTGCGTACAAGTGCATCCTATTAAGCTTAGTCTGTCATATCCGTCACTAATCCCTGAGAGATCTACAGCTTCTTGCACATTTATTAATGAAGGACAGAAAACTAAGCCAAATGCACCACAACAGGTTATACTAAAATATAATTCCCCCAAAGCTTCACTCTGTTGTATGCTTAAAAAGAGGCAAAAATTTGAGAATAAATTAATACAAATCCACACATTATTTTGGCTTAAATTGACAGATTACTCAGCTATATACAGATATTCCCAAATTGCTACTAAAATATATCAGTCTGTCTACCATAACATTCCTATGCTTCAATATATATACACACACACTATTCTTTTCTAATTTGATGACAAAAGCACCACTTACTTTACTCTGAAAAATAAAATAAAATACATGATGACATGGATTATCTAATGAAAGAACACATTTTACCTTTTCTCAGAATTTACTGTCTAACCTTATTTATCATTTATCATTACTTGCTAAATTCCCCACGCAAGATTATGCAGTTTAGGTATCATACCTCTCAGACTGCATATAGCAAATTTTATTACAATCTGAGAACCTCTTTCAAATAAAATAATTCTGTTTTATCTTGTCCCTTATCGTATGAGCTCTCCACCAATGAATTTAAAAAAACTGTGAATCTTTGTCTCTACTTTTACATTTACAGAAATCATAGATGGTTATTCTAGAAAAAAGGTCTTACAAAAATGTGACTATTGAATTCATCACATAACATCAGTAACAAGCTAAAAATATTCCTTCCAAAATCATTCCATGGATTTCCCTACTGCATTTGATGAAGCAAAATGTAGTCCATTCACCAACATTCTTTATTTTTTCCAAAGTTCCTTATCCATTCTGACAACCACAATGATTTCCACCTCTTAGTCCACCCTTATTTTCTAAATAACATTAAAGCATATCCTGAACTCTCTACAGTCACTTTCAAAAGTGAAAGTGAATCATAATTGCTAAAAACCAAGCACACGATATGAAAACCAACTTTTTATAAAAAATGTCACAGCCTCCTTGCAGAATCAGTTCTTAAGTGCTATTTTTTTAGTCTACAATTATTAGGATATTTAAGATTTGTGAAGTAAAAATGCTATATTTTTAAAAGATGGTTTTAGTGTAAGATACAAAAAGCATCAAGATTGCACAGCTTTCTTCAAAGGAGAACCCATTTTCTGTGCTCAAAACTAGTACTTCCCAAAAGGTTCAGAGCTCATTGAAATCTAGATGTCATATGACCCCTCATGAAAATAAAATGCCTTGCAGATTAAGGTCTACTACTAGTGACACGGACCTACAGATTAACACCACTGAGATGTGGGGATCTGCTCTACCACATCTATCTGCAAGACCGATACCTCAAAACATTAAAGTTTTTCTCGTTTTTAACAGCACTCTGAACTAGCGTAACAGTACAGGAAGAAAGAGATTGCAACCAGCTTTAAAATACACCTGCCTTGGATGGTCTTTACTGTTCAATACACAATTTGGTTTGTGCCCTATCCCTCCCCTCAAGCCCACTGCCAGCTTACCCTGTTTCCCTGGCATCTGATGGTTGGGTGTTTCCAACTTCTCATGTCAGCTTGAACTAAGGAAAACACAAACAGTTGTTCAACTCCTCCCTGACCAGATGACATTTTATCGTGGATATCACCCATACTCTGAATCCCCTGAGATTCCCTAGATATGCTTCAACTGCCCCCCATCCCATGTCCCATTACCGCATTGATTTTTAAAATCACCACAATATTCTCAATGTAACTTTATCTAAAGTCTTCAAAGGAGGTATCTTACAAACTTTCCTCAGAAGTTCCTAAATTCTGTATCTGAAAAAACAAACTTAGTACGCAATATGGTCTGAGGAGGAGGGGTGGGGGTAGAAATCAAGAGGAAACATTCTACATTTTAAAAAGCACCTAAGAACACGATACTGTAAATTCAGATGAGTGGAAAGATGAGCAGCAACAAGCCCCAAATTTGCATTTTAGAAATCCACAAGCAGTACAAAGTACCACAAAAAGAAGACTAGCAAAATGCTGTATTACATAAACTGTTAACAGGGAAACTCAGCTTCAGAGAGAAATCTAAAAATTCTCCTTTGATCATGACTAGAAGGAAAAAGGATCAAGATGTCTTGCTGTTTAAAATAAGGCTTGGCATAGAAGAGGTTGAGATATCACCGAACTAGTCTATATTGCATCAGTTTGAAATACACATGGAATCACCCATTTCCAAAAGCTAGGTTAAAGCAAAGTAAAAAGAATTACGTGATTTAAAGGTTGTGAAAGAACAAATAAAAAGAGGACGTGTACAATAAAGGCTGATACTGCTCTCTGTATCCACCTCCTACATTAGCTTAAACAATAGACTAAATGAGCCAGAAGCAAAGGGGGCTAAGTCTGTACAAGGAAGATAATAAAACTGACTGGCAAAATATATTTGCAAGTAGGACTGTACATAAAAAGAAGCCAAAATGTAGAATGTGAAAGTGGCTCAGACATGCTGTTCTGTAAGTCTGAAATCACACATCTGTATTTAAAGTTTTACAGTGCATTTGGGATGAAAGAGAAACTCTAAAAATTACAAAGAACAAAATCAACCTTGCTAGATTTTTAGAAGAGAAAAGGAATGTAACAGAGGAAGAAAAAAGTACTTTAGCACGCTAAAGTAAGATGTCCTTAAAACATGGCTGAAACCCAATGAACCATATGTGGCAACATAATTATTTTAAATTGAAAATAAATGTTAAAAAAAACCCAAAAACCTTATTGCCCCAGTAGACAATGATAAAAATGTGACTGCATCTATAAGCATTAATAAGAACCAGAGATTTGCATTAAAACCCTTGCAAGCAAATACAGAATCAAATGAATGCAATCATGAAATAACAGCAGCTTTTATCAGCAAATTATTTGAAATTAATGACCAAAATGCTGAATATAATTTTTAGGGGTTTTTTTTAAGGGAAAAAGACTAAGTTACATGAAACATTTCTAAACTGGAGAAAGTAAGAGTGAAGAGGAAGGAAATTAATTTACCCCTTAGGTCCCATCACTAATATGTTTTCCAAAAGCACCAGATACCTCAAGGAACTGATGTCTCTTCTCCAAAAGCTATTTTTGACTGAGTAGTATCTATGTTACGAAGTACTTGAGATTATTTCTTCAATTAAGTACATTTAACATAGTAAATGAATAAAATAGTCCTTCCTAACCACACAAACTAAGTGCTTTTTCAAGCATACAATCGTTGGCCAGGACTGAAGACAGACAATACATTTAGCTTATCTGCATAATCACAAAGCTTATGTCAACTGGTTTGATAAACCTTTTAAGTATGAGTTAGCTGACCAAGTTTCTATTTGTATAATGTCTTGCCTAGATAGGAAGGAGAATTATAATGTAAACATCACAGGGCAGCTCCTCAGATAATACAAACCATTCACCACATGACTTGTACATTTTTTCCTTTTCCGCTAGCTGTGCGTTTTTCCATAAGAAAACACCATTGTGATGCTTCTGCAAAATACCTCATCAGTCTATAATGGGCTGCATGCGAGATTGCTAACTTACTGCCTGGACCAACTCTTTTTGTCATAACACTACGTACATATTTGATGCCACATTCAGAGCAGCAGTCTCCATAAGACAGACAACAAGAAGGCTGAGCTAGCAGAGCCTAGGAAGAATGTGTAACCATCCACCAGCAGAACTGCAACACCACCAAACTGCCACGTTACGGAAACTTTTATACCTGACTGCATTAATGCATACAATGTTAGGCAACCTTATGCTGTGAACAGTGTTACAGAATATGCAACTATGAACAAACACTGATTAAAGAATCCAAAGATGAATCAGAATGTTACCTAACTATAATGCTGAAGTTTCAGATGTTTCTCCTGTCAGCCTCTGGCTTACACATCGCTTTGAAAAAGTACTTGGTTTGGTATAGATTGTAGCATCTCTAAATAGGTCTCACAGAGAAATATTACCCTGACTCAGCTTACTGAGCAGTATGAGAAGCATGGATTTCATGTTTGATCTTTAGAATAACATGAAAAGAATACCGAGACAGGGAATGCCCGTATTTTCATGGTAGAAACATAATTCTCCAAGGCTTTGAGTACAGCTACAATAGGAATTATGGACACTTTTCTGACCCCGCAGTTCCCAAGCATCTGTTTTAAACATTAACAATAGATAGACATATGGCTGTATTCATTATTCTTTGTTTTATTATTTTATGACAGAAGAGTGAAATTATATTCTTATCTTAGTTTATATTAAACTATTCCTGACAAGCTGAATTCGCTTTGAATTCAACACAGGGGCCAGGGCAGCCCCACCTCCAGGGAACTGAAAGACACCAATTTCAAATTTTTCAACAATTATTTCCAGTACATTGGAATAAATTCCAACAAACAGTTCCAAACCCTTAGTTCAACAATACTCTATTCTTCAAAAAGAATAAATGCAATTGTATCAAACTTAACAGTAATTCAACTAATTGTTAGCTGTGATAGTTTACAAGCACTAGCACCAACTCCTGTAGCATACTGGGTACTGACAAATTAGATGGCCTGCCTAAATTATGAATTAAACTATTACCTGAAGTTCAGGTCAGATTATTTAGTTAGATTTGTAACCAGCAAGACATGAATCCAGAGATGAAGCTTTCAGTAACTTTGCTCCTCTGAGCAGGTGTCTTTCAAATCCATTGACCTCACAGCCACAGCCCAGTACCAAGTGTGAGAGCACCTCACTTTTACTGTCCTTTTTCCAGTTACTGGGAACACAGCGCAGAAGAATCTCTCTGAAACATACGTACACAAAGGAAATACAGGAGAAATACAATTCTCCTATGTCACCTGAAGGCTAGGTCATACAGATAAATTAGACCAACCCAACAACCTGCTGAAACAGATAATGAATTTAAAAGCACAATACTTTGCTGCCATGTTTCATGGTTTTTTATTCAAAGAAAACAGAAGGCGGTTCACTCCTGTCAATTAAAAGAAAATGAACTCACATGGCTCATTAATTTTGTCTTCATGTGTAGGGAGATACTTAGTCTGATGAATTCTCACTCCACTTGAACTCCATGACAGCAGTAAATAACATCTAAGAGGCCCTTCTGATTAGGTTTCAACTGTGTAACTTTAATTCCAACATAGGTCCTTCAACCACATTTCCATGCAGCCTCAAGAAATTTTCCTTAACTGTTACTAAATGGTTAACCAATATTGTTGTTAAACTAGAACTTCTAACAAAAGGTATATTAGCCAGATCTCAGGCTTGAACAAGCATGTCCCCAAAAGCATCTATTTTCTAGGGAAGGGAAGGAAAAAAATCTCACTATTATGCAGAAGCACTGTCTACAGAAAAGAAACTGTTCTAGACTGCACCAAACACTGCTAAAAACTCTTCTAACATCTACTAACAAAAATGACATAATAAAAATACTTGGGCTGCAACAATTAAATCTGGATACAGAGAACAAAGGATAAAAACCCAGATGTTCTACACTGACCAATAAAAAGAACAAACCAGCATCCCAGAGCAGGAGCAATAAGTTTCCATTAAAACAGACTGATAATTCCAGTGCCACTGTGCACCCACATTGAGTGACATAACCACAGATGAGCTTTAACTATCCTGTTATGAAAACACTGCTGAGAGCAAGAATTCAAGAAAATTATGCAAAAACAAGGCAAAAACCAGAAGCCGCTCTGTTAGCATCTAGTATCCCTAGCTAGTCTATTCACTCTTCTCTGCAAGTCCTTTCTGGTTTTGCACACAACCATTCTTTCATATTTAAATTCCTTTGATATTCACATTTTCCTAAAGAAATAAACCAACAAAATACATATACAAAGCTTAATATCACCCTCCAACATCTTACAGTTACTATTCTACTAAGCAAACTTCAGCATTTACATATTAAGAACCAAACCCTCCGAAGTCTCTTCTTAAACTCCAAAAACCACCCTGTATATTTTCATCTTCTAAAGGTAATTAGTTTTCAATGTACCAAAATACCATTACTATACAATGTGATAAGTCATTTCCATAAGACAGACGCAGCACATTTTCACTTTCTTTGATTTAAAGGAGGTCTACCACAAAAGAGCCCCAGCTTCTGGTGTTATCAAATCCATAGTTATAAGGAAGAATATTATATGGGTACAGTTCCCTGAATTGTATGGACTAAAAAAGAGCATATTCTTTGTGAAAGAGCACTGAGTAAAATTTCAGTCAAATATTAAACAAAAAAAACCCAGAAAACAAAATGTAAAGTATAGCTACACATTTCTAGAAGTGTAAACCGCAACAAAACAAAAAAAATGAGTGTGGAGTTAAATGCTAGATGAGACACTATTGCGTTCTTCGGCCTCAGTTTTTCTGAATGATGTTGTTTATTCCTCCTTCTCATACATTCAATTTAAGTGTCTCTTTGGATGAGTCCAGTCTAATGTTTATCAAAGTACCATCATAATTTAAGCAAAAAGCGACTATGCCTCTGTAGTAATTTTTCCCTTGTCTTCTCAGACATATAAATTTTAAAAGCCTTTGCTGTTAGAGAATGACATCGTAGAGTTGGAGATTATGGTTTCTGAAAACTCTTAAAGAAAAGCCCAAGTTCAGATCCTGCAAGGAATTCCAAGCAGAAGTAATCGTCCATTGGCATAGGGCTCCATGCAGAATTGGAGGCATTTTTCAATAGTTGTCAAACACTGAGTCATTTATGAATAAGTATAACAGATTATGTTTAAATATCAGTTAAATAAATTAATCTCTCTCTGGACTCAAATATCTTTCATATTCAGTTTCTGCTCACAAGCAAAGCAAACCCTAAAACAAAGAAACAAAGTGCCAAATTACAAGAGAACATGGCCCAGTCTCTTTGGAGAATTAATATAATACATATACTGCTTTTCTTATTTAAACCCATAATAGCAAAATCAGAGAGTGTTTTATACAAAGCACATAACAATTTTTACATAGACTTCAAAAAAAATAGTTTTTGTTTGGGTTTTTCTACTGCCTTCAATATCCTTCTGAACACTGAAGTAACATCCAAACCTAACCATTAAAGTATCTATTATCCGTAACATAAAAAGTAGTACATTACCTTAAAAATACATTTGGCAGAAAGAGACTGAAGTAATTTATGAAATTTGATCTTCACTAAATAAAGAATCACGTACTCCTCATTAGCTAAATCTGATGACATTTCGGTTAAAAGCAATGCAAAAAGTAAACTAACAACTGTTTGCTTACCCAAATTCAGACACAGTAGAAAAAGGAAAAATATCTGCGTAAATACACAACAGCACAACTAGTTTGGAATTTTAACAGACCACACCATTTATCTATGTTTGTGGCATATCATCCCTCGTGCATTTCACTACTCTCCTCTGCAAAGATGCACAGCTTTTATGAATGTTCCCAAACAGCTTTTTTTGCTTATCAAAATTACTCAGAAATATATCTATAAGTGATCTGACCACAAACCCTTTCATTGATTATTGGGTCCTTCTTATTTGAAAGTTGTGAATATTTAGGAACATTAGCAATAGCAAAATCAGCCGTTACCTGACAAAATATTTTAAATGTTAATATTGTGTATATTTAACTAGAAATATAAGCCAGCTTCTTCCCAGAAGGGAATGCATTATTTCTACCCAAACTTTGTTTTGACAGAACATCAAATCTTTTGAACATCCCAAAATTTATGTTTTGGGTTTTTCTCCACCTCAACCAATAATTTTTAGAGAAAATACAGAAGTCAGATGGGCTTCCAAACTCATTGTTTCTCAAAAAAAAAAAAAAAAAAGAGTAGTTTTTATTTTTACTGAAAACATTTATATTCTCCAAAAAAATTAAATTTAACCAAAATATCTTTCTACAATGGGAAAAATTTATATTGAATAATTTTACCTTCAGAGTTATGCGTAGTTTTCTTGTGTTTTCGACATAAAATCCTATAAACAAAGTAGTTGAAAACTGTCAAGTCAGTCACGATTCACAGATTATTTACTCATCTTTTAAATTTAAATGCCAGTACATTTTTCTCCCACTTGTAAGTCTCACTGATATACAAATCTTGCAGTGAAAATAGGCTTTTCTAGCACATCAGTATTTTGAATGCCACAATCATCATTAGATTTTTTTTTGCAACAGTTTTGTTTAGATTCCAAAAGTGGGTTTTTTTGTTTTGCTTTGTTGTTGTCTTTTTTTAAGCAAAGAATGTGAAATATAAATACAAAACCAAACATAGCAAACAAATAATAGTTACATGTAAATGCCTTGTGAGGGTTTCTCTCTTATCTGAGCTTTATCATGCAATGCACAGTAGTAGTGATATGTCTTGTGACATGTTTTCACATCACAGCCAATGGTTGCTCCAGGACAATGGCATAAAGAGCACATCTGTAAAGGAAAAGAAAGCACAATTCATGTTACTGTTGGCTTAGTATTTCTGAATTTAAAAATAATATAGTTACCACTCCCAGTGAAAAAAATAAATGGACCTATGCATACCTGCTCTCAGGTATTTTTCATCATTTATTTTAAAATTGAGGAGAAATGTGTTGCAATTATGCAACAATACAATAACCATCATGCATTGATTATCAATTCAATGAAGAAAATAAGTAATTTATTTATGTGGAATATAATGTGTTTGATGACAGTGACACAGCTGTTTACCTACATATCACGCTCTCAACCATTTCAGAAAAGTTAAAAATCATAAATTGTACCTCTTTAATTCTGAATTACATTATGAAGGCAGGAGAAAAAAAAAAAAAGACACACATATGGCAATGAATCTTGCAGTCAGAAATACTGATGAGCCGCGAATTTACCTTAGCCTCAGCAGCTAACTTTACCTCTTTTTTCTGTAAAGTTATTTCCTTAAGTCATTTCCAAAACACTGAATTTAGTGAAATATTTGTTAAATACAATTAACTTTTTTCACTTATACTAAATTTTGTTCTTTATACTTATATTGCAGAAACGGTTAAATGGGAGCCTGTTGCTCTATTCTTCTTTCCCAATAATTTATTCTTCTGGTATTAGACACATCACTGATTAGGATACACCAGCAATCAGGCTTCTAAACTGTTCACTGCCCTTTTCATACTGTATTAGGAAAGGAAGTAATTGATACAACAATATTTTTCTCTTTATTATTTTCTACTGACACAATATTGTCCCAAAATCGCAGAATTTCCCATTAAACAACCCTGAAAAGACAGCCAGAGCTTTTTATTTGTATCCTGCATGTTATCCACACCCCCAAAAGATTTAATTCCAAATCCATTAGCGTAAGTGCGCAATGTAGGATGCTCCTTACATATATCTTTGTGGAATACACTTTCTGCTCACGGCACTTGCTCAGTCAAGTTCTTGTTAGTCTCAAACATACTAAATAAATATATCACCAAAGTTATGTATCACCATCCTGTTTTTCAATTTTAAGAAAGTTAACTGAACAGTAAAAATGTCAAAGCTTTGGATCATCTCCATTTACTCCTCTGCAAGCTCTGAAATGGTATAGTTATATACCGTTCCCTAGCTGTTATCTAATTTGTATGGCTATTTTATCTCAATTTTTTTATACTTTATGTTTTAATATAACGGCTGATAAAAGTTCTTTATAAAAGCCTAGGTTGAAATTATATCCATCCTATCAGTTTTAGTCAATACTTCAGGATTTTTAAAGTCAGAAATTACTAAAATAAAACTTTCCTTTTATGAAGACCATGAAGTATCTGTGTGAACAAAACAGACCACAGGAATTTTTATATTGATTTATTGGTCTATGTTTCCTGACAGTAATAAAATACTTATTCCATTGGTACAAGTCCTGCTGTCCAAATGATCACTGGCAACAGATTAATTAATTCCCAAGTCGTATATGTGAAGTTTGACAAGCTGCAAAATAGGTAGGAGATTTTAAAAAATCCTCCCATGCACAGTTAACAGACATAATAATTCTATCAGTGCTTTATACTCCCAAATGTTTACAGACTTCACAGGTTTTTATGACTGGCCTATTAAGGTTGAACCTACAAACTTTTCTCAAACAGAAATATGTTACCACCAGAAAGGTGGTATGACATGTCAGTCATTATCCCTTCAGTAACGAACAGGCCGCAGTTTTCAGTGCATACCTGGTCAGCAGCAGCACCTCCTGAAGGGAGAAACTACGTAAAATCTGTCAGCAGACAAATTTAGTCCAAGCTATCACTATAATTACTTAACCCAGTACACCACACTGAGATACTTTTGCTCAATGTATTCCCACGTAAAAGAACAGGCTAGAACAAGGCTGGGTATCTGGGCTAACCAAAACCATTTAGCTTTAAGCTTCCTAAACAACTCAATGGAGACAGATTCCTCCAGAGAATAATTCAGAGCTGTAGTTTTCTGACAGCTACAGACAGAGATAAGGCACCTAAGTTAAGATCTAAAATTATCTTGTAAATTCTCTCCAAATAGGAAACATCTCAGGACTATGAATATACTAGGTTAACCAAATCCAGGTTTTCTGCAAAAAGCTGAAGGAAGTGCCTGATACGTACAGCTATCAAGCTCCAAGAATACATCCAGCTGTTGTATCAGTGAAGGAACATAAAGAAATTCAGAAGCAGAAAGACAGAAACCACCAATGACATAAAAAGAAATAATCTTACTGAAAACATTTAAGAGACTCAAGAATCAAAAAGGGTTTTTTTTGCAATCTGTAGTTCCATTTACTACTGCATTCTTTGGGAATTCCTAATCACAACATGAAAGACTTGTGAATAGCTATTTCTTTATGCTTCAGCTAATTAGAGCAAATAAAGTTCCCTGCATTGGAAAAGATTCAAATGAAACACTAGATGAAATACTAGCCTATTATATATAATAATAGTACAACAATAATACTTCAGACTACTCTTAGTCCAAGAACTGGTAAATATGTAAGAATGCTTTAAATAACTAAGCTGGAAGTTTTTCATAGGAGAAGTGAATTAATCATTTGTTCAAAATATTTTGAAAATGTCTCAGTCATTTCCTAAATGGAAAACAATTAGTTCTAAAAAAGAATTAATGAATTAGCTTCTTGGGAATTAAAAAAAGTCATTGCTCCTCAATTCTCATCAATTTCGTAGAACTGTAATCACTATTGTACCCACGTACCCCATAAGATGCCTATATACACAGAATCATCTATTAAATCAATATAAAAGGAAGCAATAAAAGTACCTTTGGTACTTAAAACCAGATTTTGGCAGCAAAACCAAACACTGGTAAAGGCATGATAATACCCTTGCCAGGTCCCTAGAACATGGGTTTCATTCTGAAATCTAGCAGAAAATATTAAATATAAATTACTGGATTAGAAACATAAATTTAGGAAATGCTATTGTTTATGTGCAGCCCACCAAAAGGAAAAACAGGCATATTCTGTAAATGAGTTTTCAAATCTGCTTGGAAAAACCTGCATAACTGCTACAATCATCTACATTTGCCAATGAGAAAAAAGTGACTGCTAAAATAATAATTCTGGATTTATTTTTTAATAATCACAAGTTTAAGCTACAATTCTTAAAACATGTTTGCATGAGAGCAGAACCTGACTGAAGTAAACTACTTTTTACCCTTTCCTGAACACTATTCAACTGTCAGGTAACTCACATTTGAATTTCATTTCAATGCAAGTATAATCATATATACTGAGGGCTTTTTTTTTCTTAAATCTGAGACAAATTTTACTTCAACATCTTCTTCTTTAAGTTGTCCGTTACCTTAGAGCTCAGACAATGGTCATATATACATACATATAATATACTGCACAACCTCATGGTAAACTTCATAGAAGGTAAGAAAATATTGTCTTCCATTTTCAAGTACCAAAAAACAGAGACTTACCAGTTTAGTGCCTCTCTTTATTTCTTTCTGAATATCTTCAATAGAGAATCCACCAAGACTCTCATTATCAGTGTGTGAAGATACCAGTGCAGATGAGAACAGCTAAAATTAGAAAAACAAACCATATTTTTTATGTTTTAAGGGTATAAGTGATACAGAACATTTATATATTTGAAACACACAACAATTTCAAATTAGAGTGATTAAACATTTGTGCCAATGCCACAGCTGGTCGAATTTTTCATTTCTTTGTAGTCTTTTACTAGCTCACTATATCCTTTCCTTTTTTCCTATGGGTTACTCACCATACATTTGTGATGTGCTGCCACCTTCTGGTTTTCTGACATCAATAATTGTCCACATTCATTATCTTTATTAGATCTACAAAAACCACACTTCCTTTGTCTTGAAGAGACTTTTTTCTGTCCAACTGAGCTTGTCATGATTTTAAATGACCTTAGAATGCCACTTCAATCCTCTCAATGCTACAGAAAAAAAAGGTGCAATCAGCATGTTAGCATGAACAAAAGGCAACTTACAGTTTTGTAAATATAATATTGGTTGCTTGAAAATGATCTGTCCCTTTTTAAACTTTTCTTTACACAACTACAGTATACCCAAATAAACATGCACCTAGTAGAAACAGTATTTTCCCAACTCTTTATGCAATTGTATCAGCAAGCAGAATTACTTCTTTAGGGAAAAAAGTCTGAACATCAATACAAAACTTTGGACACTGATATAGAACTTAGGGGGGAAAGAATAAATAAATGGAAAACACAACAAGTACAGCAATCATCAGGGGAAAAAGCTCCTGCAACTCTTTCATGCCATTCCTACAGTTATTTATTAGAGCAAAAGAATTCGTAGAAAATGCACTACCTGTGCATGCAATAAAATGCCAGCTACTAAAGTTCTTCAAAAACAGAAGCAAAGAAAAACCCCAAGAGTCCAGCACAGCATCCAGAACAGGTTTTGAGTGTAAAAGCTCACAAAGTAGCAGAGCAGATGAGTAACTACCCTTAGATGAGGAGATAAAGTGTTTCCATTTTAGGTATTACACAGATACACTGTGGCTAGTCAAACAGCATTAGGAACAAAATTTTAGAAGGATCGATGACTAACCTGCTGCAATGGAAACCTTTTCAAGACCCAGGGGCAAGCTAGCAGTACCATGCTAATTTTCAGGAAGTGCATGAGAGCTGCTAGTCTCATCTAAGAAAAATAACTTAAAATTAAACTTAACATGAATCAGAAACTTTTCATGTGTTACCAGAAACACATTTTAAAATATAACATTGAGGTCCCAATCCCCTGATCAGGCAGACATTGCAAGCTCAAAAGTGAAAATACCTTACACGTGTACATGCTTCTCAGCCCAGTATTAAGTAGTTTGTGTTCATTTAGTTTCTACATCTCTTAAAAAATAAAACACTGACCTCTTCAAATAGACAAGCTTTTTACTGAGGAGATTTGAGCCTTACTGTCAGAACAGACCACAACTGCAATAAAAGCATCCTCCTCAGCCTTTGTCTACACTAGGCTCATCTAAATAAGAAAAGCCACCATATAGTTTGATATTGCTGTGGGGGAAAAAAAAAAAATAATCCAGCCGTAAAAAAGAGCAGAGTTGCCATACATCTGGACTGCACTACAATGGCGATCTGCACAAAAATGCACGACTGTTTTTTGAAATTTGCATAGACAAACCTGCCGGCTTCTCCGCGCTGTCAGACTCTCATAATACTAATATCACTCACTATTTTTCTCATCAAAAGCAGAGGAATGTCATTAAGTTTCTGTCGGCATACACTACTGCTAAAAGACAATCCTTTCAGACTCTCCCTCTTCTGTTTAAACAGACTTACACAGACTGAGTTTTAACTGTTTGTCTTGCAATGTTTACTACCAAACTCCTGCATAGAAAGGTGTCTGTCCTGCATCTAGTGCCTTCGCTTTATCAACAGCTTCAGTTGCTTTCTTTTATAACTGGAAAGCAGTTTATGAGCAGGTGATGCATACTCATAAGAAGAACGCATAGATTTCAGATCTTGCTGATTTGCACAAAAAATGTGCCAATCTGGATAAACTAGTCACACCCTTTTGCAGTGGCAACAGAGAGTCCTTAAGTGTTAAACACAAAAGAATTACTATACTGTATTATTCTGAAGAAAAAAACAAGACAAGACCATTTTGTAATCCTTTCTGAGTAGAAAGAAGGAATGGTTTCTGAAAGAAAAATACAAAGATTTTAATTTTTGTTTCTTGTAATTTTTTAAACTTAACAAAAAATTGGGAGCAGGGAAAAAACCTACACAAGACAAGTAGGAAACAACATCACAAAGATTTCTTGTTTTCAGGTCACATTCAACAGCTCAATATAAATCACAGTGATGGGTTAGAAATATATTAACAAGATAATTTTAAATGCAAGAAGTTCTGCTTTGATATAAATAATTTGATATACACACACTAATTTGGGTCTACCTGTTCCATTTAATATTCAGATTATGTTATCGCTATATTGACATCAATGACAGTAGTTCTTTAAAGGAAGATCAGGGATTTCCTTGAACACACGCGCAGGTTCTACTGACTTACTACTGTAAGGAATTACTACTGTAAAAAATAGCTATCTTTCAATTTAACAAGCAAATTCATACTTTAGAAAACGCAAATAATTTATAGAACACATAAAAATTTATTAAGTGGTTCTCATCATCTGTAATTTATAAGAATAGTAACTTTCCAAGAAACAAGATTATAAAGAACCTTCTCACAGCTGGCTGCAGTCAACCGCTCTCAGCTTTATGCCTCCCGGTGCACTAACAGACACGAGAACACACGTCACTACAGCAACACTAGAACCTGACCTGTCCTAACTTCAAGTACTTTTGCATAATTACATTTTTAAGCCTTACATAGATGTTTAAAATAATGTCAATATTTACCTGATGATGCATGAATGTTGATGTTATATAAAACAATTAAATTAGCAAATATTACATTTTGGAATACTTATTTAATTATAAATAATTTAACACTTAGAAAATTATTCAAAACATAAACAGACCAAAAAAAGCATCAGGGTATGCCAGAACGGAAATGCACACTCTTTTCACCATCAGACTAAATTACTCTGAAAGCATTTTACAAGGATATCTAAAAATTTTCTTTCCAGTCCTGCGTTCTTTGCATTTGTGTTTTCTGGATCACCAGTATCACTTTCTGCACACATTTCTAAAGACTACAGAAAAAAAAAAACCTGAGCATGAGAAATATTTCTGAAGCATTTAATCTGTAGACCTCTCCCTAAATTATGTTTGCTTTCTCATAAATGTGAGAAAACTACCCTGGGATGACTTTTCTTTGTGCCAAAATACACTTCTTATCCTGTCCGTTTACAAATATTCATTTTCTGAAGAAAGATGAACCAAGTTCCACAGCAACACCACAGACCCAGAATTCTGAACGCAAACACTCAAAATTCTGTTTTCATCTCTCAAGTTAAATCACCCAAAAGCAACTAATCCAGTTTGCCAAGTATCAAGCTACATTTCACTGGAACAAGAAAAATAATGCAATTTAGAAACAGCTCAGTATTTCTGTTTACCAGGTTTAAAAAGCTAACAAACTAGTAAGACGTTAAAAATAGTTGAAATATAGTGTTGACAGAAATCTCGCTTGTCAGCTTTGTCAGAGAAAGTCTTATAGACTGGATCACAGAAAGGAATATACTATGGAATCACTGACCAGGAGACTATGCACTCTGTCTACCAAAATGGAACACGTGTACTACAAAACACAGATTATTACGTATAGATATGCTTTCCACAGACTTGGTCTAAAAAATGAAAGTTACATCTACCCTAAAATCACAAAAGAAGAAACTCATTTGGTGATTTTTTCACTCAAAAATTTTGGTTCATTTGCATTCATTTTTCTTAATGTCCACTAAAGTATTCAACATGGTTCTTTCCCAAATTCCTCTTTATTTTT